TATGGCGTCTGGAGCGTGTGTGCCTGTCGGAGCTGTGTCCGTGCCTCTCATCTCCGCTGCTGTATCTCTGAGAGTCCTTCGCGGTTGCTCTGACCTCCCTTCCTACAGCTACATCCTTAACCTGTCTTAGCAGCCTTGCTGACTCTCGACTCATCCTTTCGGCTTCTTCTTTCATCTGTGCTCCTAGTCCGAGGATCTGCTGCTCCAGGCAACCCAGCTTCTGATGAACGTCTCTGTGCTCTGCCTGTGTTTCCTCTTTCATTGCTTGCAGGCACATCTCTCTATTCTGTGTCAGCCGGTCCTGAATTTCCAGGTATAAAGTCTGAATCCAGTTTCTGGTTTCTTCATGCTGTCCGCGGATGTTTTGTGTCAACTGTGCTATCATCTCTCTGATTTCGTTGAGAGATCCTTCGTTTTGTCCGCTATTACGCCACTCGTAGTCCTGCCTCTGGCGTCTCATTTCATCTTTCAATCCTGCGATCGAATCTCTGATCTCCTGCATCTGCCAATCAGACGCTCCGTGTCCACTCCATTGTCTATCGCCTCGTTGTCGTTGAAGTTCATCTCTGAGTAATTTGATTCCTTCCGTCATCTCTTTCACCAACTGGGCCTCTTTGGCTGTGCCTCTTAGTAATTCGCCTTTCACGTCATGAACTTCCTCCGATTCTTCATTCAGAAGGACATCATAGCCGAGACGAATGTTGTGCAGAATTGGACCAATGGTCTCCTTCTTGTAAAATCGTTTAACCTGCTTCGGCTGTGGATAGCCTGGCTCTGTTGGACGTGTCGGCACCTGAATCACTGTTTCTTCCAAGTCGCTCAAAAACATCAGTCTGTCGATTTCCTGTGCCTCATCTCCTGCCACAAGGATTTCGTACCACTCATGGGCAAGCAGGAGCTGGTCCGCCCAGGAGATCAGCTCTCCTTTCTCCTCCGTATGCCGTGCGCGGAGTTCCTGGAACTCCAGCATATATTGCAGTGACTCTTTCACTGTGTACGAAGTTTCCCATCTTTTTCCCTTCAGAGCGATGACGTCCAGCTTCGCCTGTTCGAGCCGTTCTTCAAACTCGTTGCACTTATCGCCACAATACTTCAATTTTTGCCGGATCTGTGCTTCTGTAAATTTCGATGGGGACTCTTCGACAATGAAGGACTTCCATTCGAGCTCTGCTTTCACTCTTCTTTCCAACTCTACGAGTCTCGCCATCCCTGCAAAGAAAGTGATTGGAAATAGGCTGTGATTTGAATTCGAATCGCCCCTGTGCAGGCCTGTACAGAGTTTCATAGAGCTCTTTTATGTTTGTGCGATGCTTCACGATTGATTGGGGTTGCATGCTTGCCGAAGCTGGATCTGGAAAAAAGCGATTCAATCCGCAAGCAAAGCATTAGCAGTGCAATCGACATCACCACCGTACCCTCCGGCCTCAACACCGAAAGTGATATCTGTGCTGTTGGACTTGATGATCTATCAATTAGTGGTGCCTTTATTAGTCGGTGGTGATTAGTGAGCTTGTCATCATTCGTCGTCTCCGCAGTGCGGCGTGCACTCCCTATGAGGAGCGTATTTTTTTTT